AGCAATAAAACCAGTGATATCAGCCTTGGTTGCCATGGAACCAGAGGCCTGTTCTGCTTTCCTGAGGTGTTACGCATTTCGGGGGAAAGGTCCATAGGTCCTCATATGGCTTGTTAACTGAGGGGTGTTACAGAGTATTTGTTAAATATAGCTAACAAAATATATATTGTGTGTTTGATTGGTCCAGACGCTACAGTACATTTCTTTAATGACACTAAGTAAGCCAGTTACATTTATTGTGCAGCACTGGCAATAACATATGCATTACTATTTTCAAAGTTTGAAAAAAAAATCTACAAATCTACATTTCTAATCTCTATTAGCATCCATTACTCTACGAGTCTTTCTAAAGTAGGGAAACAATAGACTGGTTGTCTTATTTTTCTATCCGTCATGAGAAAGCAGTTTGAATTATGTATTGATTTCTTCTTAATTCTGGAAATTTTCAGCTCACTCGACCTCTAAACCACACAGGCGCTGTTTTTGTCCTCACCAGTGGTGTGGGTGAGGTCCAATAAGCTAATGGCCGATAGTTCTTTGTTGATTTCCTCTATTAAATTGCATTGCAGGTCTAATCAAGTTAGCAATGTTCATCTGGTCGTTTCCAGAAGGAGAATTAAGTGGCTGATTGATTGGCTGGCTGGCTTCCTACTCCATAATGTACGCTTCAGCACATTATCGTGGCCACCTCCATTCCTACGAACTTAAAATGCATACTCAGCTGTTTCCCGACACAGATGCCGCAATCAGTGCAGATGTCTCTACAAGAGAACCACTAAACATCCTGTACGTTCAGGGTCCGAGCTGTTCTGTACACGCAGGGCTGACTGGCGCCCACAGTCCAAGAATCAGACCCTGAAAAGGCATCAAATCCAGTTAAATCAGCCCATCTCAGTGTCTGAGCGCATTACGCCTCCTCTAATGTCCTGTAGGATTACACAGATTTGTGGTGACACGGCTAATCACGCCAGCGCAGAAGCGCATTTAGCCCAGCCAAGCCCTGCCAGCCGGGACGCCACACAGTCACCACAGAAAGTGTTTCCTTCCTAGCGTTTTCCAGCACCAGAATGGATACTGCATGGGCTGAACGGGGCTGTTTACAGGAAAGGAAGCCCAGCGCTTATGGTATGTCCGACGCTGAGAACTTCTACTTTCTGCAATGCCGTTCCTCAATAATAAATGAGGAGACTCATCTATTGAGACGAGACGAGAAAGTGCGCATTCCTCTTCAGAGAATCATAATGCCAATCAGAGAGCGCTTCATCTCGCTTGAGCTCCGCTCTCATCTTGTAATCAGAGCTGGTCTACGCTCAGACCATTTCACATGGCTCTGAAAACAAATCTCCAATAAATCACTCTAATGTCATTTTCAGGGCTGTTAGCAAACCATTTACAGACAATTCAGTAATGCCGAGTGAACGTAAGACTGTTTACCATGCGCTGCTAATGGACAGGATGTCTCTGTCAAATTAGAGAGTGAGAAATATCGAATTTGCCTCTTTTGTTGGGGCCCATGTCTCACATCAATCCTTATTGATTGGCTGCTGCAGGAAATCGAAGTGAAATATAAGCAGCAATGATCGTTCTAAACTTCAAGTCTCTCAACTTGGTGAATCCTGCTGAAAAGACCAGTGTAGGCCAACATGATTATGTGTAAGACCGGACAAGAGTCTGAGCCCACAATCATATTTTCAAGGTCTTGGTCAACCCTGTTCAGGTCTCGGTCTTGACTCGTATTCAACTCTGTTTAGGTCTCAGTTTTGACTCAGACTCAACCCTCTTTAGGTTTTAGTCTTGATTCCGACTCAACCCTGTTCAGGTCTCGGTCTTGACTTGTATTCAACTCTGTTTAGGTCTCAGTTTTGACTCAGACTCAACCCTCTTTAGGTTTTAGTCTTGATTCCGACTCAACCCTGTTCAGGTCTCGGTCTTGACTTGTATTCAACTCTGTTTAGGTCTCGGTTTTGACTCAGACTCAACCCTCTTTATGTTTCAGTCTTGATTCCGACTCAACCCTGTTCAGGTCTTGGTCTTTACTCGTATTCAACTCTGTTTAGGTCTCGTTTTGACTCAGACTCAACCCCCTTTAGGTCGCAGTCTTGATTACGACTCAATCCTGTTCAGGTCTTGGTCTTGACTCGTATTCAACTCTGTTTAGGTCTCGGTTTTGACTCAGACTCAACCCTCTTTAGGTTTCAGTCTTGATTCCGACTCAACCCTGAACCTTAAGTATCGGTCTTTACTCAGCCTCAACCATTCTCCGGTCTTAGTCTTGACTCAGACTCAACCCTCTTCGTGTCTTGGTCTTAATCCAGACTCAAACTACTTGAGTCTCGATCTGGACTCAGACTCGAATGAGCTGGTCTCGACTAAAAAATCAAGCTTGTGTTGATTTTACAAGAATATGAACTAATTACCAATTAACTCCACTTTGGAAGTCAATAAGCTGATATGATTAAGAAATAATGATGCATACTTAATGCTATATATTGAGAAAAGCTTCATCTGTGTCTATAGCTGCTTTCAAATCATGTTGTAATGATAACATTTTTCATTGTGGATGTTGATTGTACAATTTAATTCAGACGCATATAGTATTGTGTACTACTATTAATGAAAATTGATGAAGCATGTCAGAAAATACAACCTATTTAGCCAGTTAATGAAGCAAATATTGTAACAGTGCAAGAAAGATGAAAACATAAAGCAAGAACTACAGACCTAAAATATTTTAATTTTGTTGCATTACTGCTAAAAAGCTTCCTGTATTTGCCAATAAGCCAAAAAGACAGGAAGAAATATGAAAGTGCTTAGCTCAAGCATTTTTTTCTGACCAGATTCATTTAAATGCACATTTCTGTCAGAATTTATCAAAAGGACTTAAAAGATTAAATTAGATTAGATTATATTAAAAGCAGAATATTTTCAAAGTCTAACACAGCCTTATTGATTTTTTAAAACAGTTACTATTTAATAAAAATATTAAGGAAGCATTTAAACATTATTTTATTCATCAGATGCATTAAGGGCCATCCACAGAACAAACAGTCCAGAGTCAACTGTTACTGTAGCTGTAATTTAGCACAGCTAGAATGCTACAATCAGCATCCAGGACTGCAATTATCAGTTTTGTAAATAATCTTTCTCGTTCACTCAGTAGTCCACTCTAATGCCATTGTCTGCGAACAGCCGAAACAAAAGCAATTTCCATGTGAACACAAGCAGATCTCGGGTTTGAAGATGGTAATGAGAGGCTTGTTGAAAGAAATGAGATCATCTTTCCACAGTAACACATACAGTAATTGATACTCAGGAGTGAGTCTGCTTGTTGGAAATACAAACGCCGTGACAACAGCACTGGAAAGTGCTCCTTAATTATTGCTCTCTAGAACACTGTGACCACACGCAGAACCACACAAATCCACTTTTGCCTAATGCAACGTGACCCCAGGAAACTGTCGTACTAAATGGCGTCTTGATGTTTTGGTGGAAAATCAACATTAGGAAACATTAGGATGGCGGTGATGACGAGGCTTGTATTATTCACAAAGTAGTGTGAGTTTCACTTGAATTTCTCATTAAAACTGAGGCGTGAGTGAGAGGCTTACTATTTTTACTTCCTGCTATGCGAGAGCCAATGACAGTCAGCCGAGTTTAATGAGCACCATCTGCATATCTCTGAAAGTAATTAGCACTCTCTTTCCACATGATGTCACACCATTAGCATGCATAATGCATGATCCTGGATGTGGTATTTTTAGTGAGAGTGTTTTAACCTGCCAGCATGTACTTTGAGGTGATTCTAGACATAACTCAAAAATAGCCACAAACTTCTATTATTTTATTTTATTTTACAGATTAACCTTTTATTCATAAGTATGTTCATATTGTGTATTAATAACTGACTCATATTCCAAAAGTTGTCTTTCTAATCTTGTATCAAATTATATTGTATTATCAAATTTTAAGCCAGTCATCTAAATCATACAGTATATATATATATATTAGGGATGGGAAGATTCCCCGATTTGCTCGGTGCATCGGCATAAAAAGTTAACGATGCGATGCATCGGTTTAAAAAGTGTGCATCAGCTATAAGTTGGCATTTATATCGCGATTCGCGATACATCATTTCTAATATATTTGCATCGGCAAAAAACTATTTATTTATATATAATTACTAGTGGATGCGCTATACTTTTATTATTTAGAAAGTGACCAATAATCTATGACCAAAATGTAGATTGATTTCTCCTCTCTAAACTGTTTCTCAAGCGCGTTCTTTCATCATCGCTGCTTC